GAGTTACCAAGTGAATTATTCATAACTGGTTTATTGAGGAAGCTCAGTTCAATGGGAACATACAGAAGCAAACACAGTCCAAACAGAGTTTGTGTTTCTGTCCCCTCCCAACTCTAAGGTTCTCCTGTCGCTTTTGTCTTTAGAGTGGTCTCTTAGCATAGAATGCCTACTTATGATAAACTTAATGCAACCCAGAATGTGACTGGGTCTCTGTGGCTCTGGGCCATGGCAGGGCTAGGGTGTCTAGCTACTGATGCTAGCCTGTGCTTTGCCACCCAAGGCCACATCCACCCTGAAGTGGGGATCTGCTCAGAGAAAGAGGCCAGCAGCAAGGATTCCCGTCGGGGAGAGAGTGTGGCTTGCCCTGCTGTTTCTGTAGCTCAGAACACCCAAGTGTACCTTGGGCTTTCCAGGCCTACTGGTCCCTGATACTCTCCCACCCCAGTACTCTGCCACCTCCTTTCCCATGAGGCCTGCTTTGGGATTTTCTGCAGTATGGTGGTCCCTAGATTTAAGTACCTTCCTCGGGGCAGCAGACATTCTAGAAAATGGAAAGTAGAGGGTCAACTAGAAACCAGGAAGGGACCAAAAACACCCTGTTCCCTTCTCGGGGGGTACTTGGGACCCATGGATAGCATGGAGAAACATCTGTACCCGTGGGAGATGGCAAGCATGCAAGGGGACACCCCAGGCTGCTGCCAGTGCAGTAAGAGAAGAAAAGCCCACTACAGAATGCTGCCATTGTCTTAGTTAGGGTCGTTGTGGCTGTGATGGGACAACAGAGCCGAAAAGCAAGCTGGACGAAAGGGTTTCTTCGACTTTCACTTCCACATCACTGTTCTTCATCAAATGAAGTCGGGCCAGGAACTCAGACAAGGCAGAAACAAGGAGGCAGAAGCTGATGCATTCATGGCAGAGGCCATGGATGGGTGCTGTTGACTGGCTTGCTCCTCATGGCTTTCTCAGCCTGTTTTCTTATAGAACCCAGGGCCACCAGCCCTGGCACCACACCTGGGCCCTCCCCTATCAATCATTAATTTTTAAAAAATGCCCTATAGGCCTGCTTATAACCTGATCTTATAGAGGCATTTTTTCTTTTTTTCCCTTTTTTAAATTTTTATTGACCTATATTTTTTTTCCACTTCCTTCCCTTCCTCTCCCCTCCCCTTCTGCCCTCTCCCATGATCCTCATGCTCCCAATTTACCCAGGAGATCTTGTCTTTTTCTATTTCTCATGTAGATTAGATCCATGTATGTCTCTCTTAGGGTCCTCTTTGTTGGCTAGCTTCTCTGGGGTTGTGAATTGTAGGCTTGCTTTTCTTTGCTTTATGTCTAAAAGCCACTGCTGAGTGAGTACATATGAAATTTGTCTTTCTGGGTCTGGGAAACCTCATTCAGTATGATGGTTTCTAGAGCCGTCCATTTGTAGAGGCGTTTCCTTAATTGACATTCCCCCCTCTCAGATGGCTTTAGCTTGTGTCAAGTTCACACAAAACTAGCCAACACAGCCATCATAGAAAACACCGCTGTATCAAGAGAATCTGTGAGAAACCCAGAGTCAGGTGCAAAAATTGCCAGCGTGTTGACATGGCAGTGTGGCAGACTCCAGCTCAGGTGTTTGAGGAGGTGGAGGTGTTCGCGTGGCCGACTCCACCTCAGGTGTGTTTGAGGCGGTGTCTATATTAGCCACTTTTCTCTTGCTGTGACAAAACACCACGGTCAAAAGCAACTTGCGAAGAGGTTGCCTCAGCTTAGAGTTCCAGAGGAGAGGCCATCATGGACGAGGAGGTAGCAGGCAGCTGGAACAGGAAGCTGAGACATCACCTCTCCATTCATAAGCAGGCAGTAGGGAGAGAAAATCGGAAGGGGGAGAGGCTATGAGCCCTCAAAGCCCACCCCCACTGATGTTTCTTCCAACAAGGCTGCGCCTCCTAAAGGTCCCATAACCTCCTGAGCAGCTCAATCCCCTGGAGTCCAAGCGTTCACATCCGTGAGCCGTGATGACTATCCCCTCAAGACATACGTGAGCCGTGATGACGATCCTCTCAAGACATACGTGAGCCGTGATGACGATCCCCTCAAGCCACCTCCGTATCACCGACTGCGATCTGAACAGCAAACAGTTGCTTCTCAACATTATGACAGGAAGGTGCAGATTTCAACATGTGAATTTGGGGACACACATTCTACTGCAGATGGCAGTAATCAAAAAACAACACACTGGTCAAGACCAAGATGACCGGGATGCTCTCTGCCTTTCCTAAGATTGCTTGGGCAAAGGAGCCAGTGCTGGTGGTATCCTCAATCTGTGACCTCGCTATAATTATGCCCATAGTCAGCCCCTACACCAAGTATGCTGCCATGATCAACCAGGCCACACCCTTCAACTACCCAATGGCTGTACCAGGTAACGGGAAAGACCCCATGTGCCCAGCTACTCCCAGAACTCTCAGGGGCCCAAGCCTGGAATGGCTGAAGAACCTGTGAATATTCCTGCTGATCGAAGAGCCCCCCCAACAGAAATGTAAAAACCAACCCCACAAAAATAAAAGTAAAAATATAAATGAAAAAAAAAAAACAAAACAAAAAAACCCACTGATCTCTACTGAGGAAACTGTTGGAAAAAGAGGCTCCTGCTGTCCAGGGAATGCTGGCCGCCTCAAACTGGAAAAACTGCATTCTGCGGAGGGTCTGAGAACTGTGCTCCCCACACGCAACACTTTCCCTCCCTCCTATGTACTGGCAATGGCCCTTATTCAGCAGATAAGGAGCCCCTGAACCTGAGAACAAGGTCCTGTTCTCAGGAAAACTGGCTACTAGGGTTGTTACAGAACCACCCGTGATAAAAGAAACTGCAAGCAAGTTACATTTGCAAAGGAACGGGAATGTTTAATCGAGTAGCCAGACCAGGGGATGAAATGTTTATTGTTAAGTAATTCCCAAAGACAATGTCCTGTCCTCCCCAAGGCTGTTCTCCTGGCCTATTAAGTGGGCCAAGGGGCACATGAACAGATGACCCCACCTTGTAAGTAGGCCGGAATGTGAGGTTTGTGGGCTTCCCCAGAGTGCAAGGCAGACGGCCGCTCTGGCTCGGGCTCTGGTTCGTGCTCTGACCAGGACAGCCGCCATATCTGCTGTGTGATCACAGCTGCCTTGAGCAAGTCAGGCACTGGGGACACTGTTGGCAGAACCTCTGCCCTTGAGACATACCATTTGGTGGAAAAGACCCAAGTTCAGTGGAAATGTAAAATACTTGACAGATGAGAGGCTGCGGGAGGGGCAACCAGGAAAACCCTAACCAGGTCAGGGGAGACCTAACAGTAACTTTGAATCTGTGTCAAGGGTCATTGGAATGAAAAATAAGGTGGGCTGTTCAGGCCTGAGAGGCAGGAAAGGACCTAGGCTGGCCTCACAACTGGTCAGTGTCAGGCCTGGGTGATGGGCAGGTGTGGGCTGGAGATCGGTAGATTGACACCATTTCCACTCCCTTGGAGACAACGTGGACAGACAACAGGGAGTCAAAACCACCAGAGTCCCCTAGGCCAAGTGGAGGAGCCTAGAGGAGGCACATGGTCACTGGCATGTTAGCCCAGGTCCCCGCAGTCACGGTTGCCAGCTTTTACTTGGGCCAGAGAGGGATCCCTCTACTGTCAGGTCAAAGGGGATGGTAAGCCCTCGCAGCCGGGGACATCTAGGAAGCCACTAAGCACTCTGAACCTGTGTATAGCAGAGGACAGCTCGTGGGACAGATCCTGACACGTCGGAGACACAGGCACATGGTGACAATGTGAGGACTGTGTCTGCTGCGGGCTGGACGAGGGGCCGTCCAGCCTCTGAAGACATGGCTCTGCAGCTGCCCGGCTCCACCAGCAACCCTCAGAGCGATGGCACCCACCCCCAAGGTGTACCTGTCACAAGGTTTTTAAGAGAAGCCTTATAAACTGAGTGGTAAGAGACAAGAGCATGTGACGTGGGAACCAGATCTGGGTACAAACACAGACAGAACATGGGGCCGTGCATGGGGCAGGCCAGCCTCTGTGTGGAGAAAGCCGCCCGCTGTGCAGTGTTGCTGGGGAGACGTACCAAATTAATCCCAGAAACGACTGCTTATTAGCCGGGGGGGGCCAGGGGGGGGGGACCCCTGTTTGCTTTTGGGGGGGGGGGGGGGGGGGGATTGGAGGGGGGGGGGGGGGGGGAAAGGGGAGGCGGCGGGGGGTAAGGGGGTGGAGACCCGAGCTCCCAAGCACTTAGAGCCCTCCCAGAGGCGTCCCAGAGGCTTACAGAGTAGGTCAGGGCTGCCTGCTCTTAGTCGTTCCTCGCCCAGTGGTGCCTGACATACAAGGCCACTCTGCATGACACTGTGCGACTTCCTCCATCTCAGCAGCATGCAGTGGATTTCCTCAGAGGTTCACAAGGTGTCCCAGAGACAAGACATGAGCGGTCTGAGCCCCCCCCCACTGCCTCCTGGAAACCCACCAAGATGGAAACAGGCCACTGCTTTGTTTAGAAATATTTTGTTCAGAAAACCTAAGTCTTCATTAAAGTACAATACTTAAGCTTCCATGTCCTCTGATTCCTTTCATGGCTTAAATGCCACCTGAAACTGTGACGTGGCATGTGCTCAGACAGCCTACGTGTGCCAGGGAATCCCGGAGCCATAACGGCAATCCAAGTACATGGGATGGTCTGTGACACAGGCAACCATCATGTCTGTCCGTGCTATGATGGCGCCTGTCTTGTATAGGTCATGTTCTAGGTTAGACACCAGCTGACAGAACCACCTCTCCCTCAAAGTGTAAGAGCTGCTTGTGGCATAAACACTGAGACAGGGACCCTTCTACCACACCTGGGCCCCAAGGCCTATCTATGTAAATATGTCTATCTGTGTAAAGGGTTTCACAATGTCTCCCAAGACACTGCTGTGCCTCAGCCACCCCTCCTGCCCTGTGTCCCAGCATCAATCACAACCACAGCAAAAAACCAGAAACACATACAGCAGATATGACACACAACAGGTTAATATCTTTAATTCCATTACGGAGCTCTTACAAACTGGCCAGGCCCATCAGCAGAGCAAAGGACATCAGCAGGCTGCAAAAGAGGAAACGCAATCACTTGGTGTAAAGATGCTTAACGAGCTAGAATCGAAGGATGCAGCTGGAGCATGCTGCTGCCGTCCTCATCCTCCAGTCCTGGCACAAGACCCTGATCAGAGACACTTACCCTTGCTGGTGGCAGCGGAATGGACACAGAAATTTCTGGAAACCATTTTGTCGGTCGGTAATAAAAGTCTCAGAGGGCCCGTATTCGTTAATCCAATAATCCCACCTTTGAGAGTCTACTCAAGGGAGTGACTTGGCCCTAGGAGGAAATTCTGACACTTCATCCATCTCTGACACAGCACTGTCCCTCTGCCTAAGGGGAGTGTTTGGAGTCACTCAGGATAAGGTTGGTGGCACATGGGACAGCTGTGTCATATGCTCGCAGTGGGGGTATAGGTGCAAAGAAAGATGGGGCCAGGGAAGGAAGGAAACACCAAAACAATGAATTTGATCATTTTCTTTCCTCCCTGGTCCCCTATACTTCCTGACAAGTGCTGTCATGGAGAATGGGAAGCCCTGGTCCAGCCACTGGTGGCACTTAATGGGGCTCCTCTCTTCAGTTCTACCCTCTGTGCTGGACCAGCTGTCACCAAGTCCAACATGAGGTCCTAAAGAGATGTTAAAGGCTAGGACTTCCCAACCCTGGGAAGCTTGCCCACTGGCCCAGCCTCCAGCTCTCAGTTCCTAACCCAAGCCTCATGTCATGACATCCCAGCAAAGCTCCTGACAGACACCTTCCAAGCACAGGGTGATAGAAGGGAGTTAGCATGCCTGCTACACGGCAGAGCCTCTGCCACCTAAGGCCCTGTCCCCAGTGTGCTCCAGCCAAGCCCCAGCCTTGCTCCCTGAGTCACCTTCGGCCCACGGCAGCTTCTCCAGCTGCATTCACTCCCCTGCAGGCTGATGCGCATCCAGTAGAGGTTCCGTCCTCCGCAACAACAGGCACCTGTCTCAGACCAGCCCAAATGTACTATCATCCGGCATTCATACCTGCCACATACTCAGCTGGGGTCCTTCAAAGTCACTAAATGCTTTGGGACGTGACGCTAATTCCAAGGTCACGTTAAACGCCAGGCTGGGAAGTCACCCTTATGCCAGGCCAGGTCCCATTGTCAGTTAGATACTAAATACAGTGAAGTCTGCTTACCAGATGGGTGTCACGGCGTCTGGGGAGCAGGCGCAGTACGGCCACAACAGTCAATGCCAAGAGGAAGGCCACTCCTTCATATACCAGCTCCTCTCCCCTTCGCCCTGTTCTCTTCTGAGCTCCGGAAACTACAACCTTAAGATATGTACAAAGCCTCCCCTCCCCCTCTTCCTCAGCTTGATGCCCAGTTATCACAGTCTCCCTCTGGAGCCGCATGGGCCTTGCATCTTGTCCTTTTGGCTGGGGACTAACCATGTCCCCCCACTAGAGCCACAGTGGGCTCCTCGGCAACAGATTCGAAGTGGTTCATCCAGGCCCAAGGAGGAGGGCAGTGTCAACCGTCTCTCATGTGCTCCAGGCTCCAAGCTACAGGGAGCTATCGAGATGGTTCTAAATACAGGGCAGCACGGCCCCAGTTCCATAAACACAAACACCAAGAAAAAAAAAAAAAAAAAAAAAAACAACAAAGAAAAAAACCAATCACGAAGTCACCGCCACCAGAGCAGCAGAGTGACTCGGGTGATTCAGCCCAGACGGCAAAGGGAGATAGTGAAGCCACACAGGCAGACAGCCTGCACGGCTCTGGCTCCAGGACCAGCTGAGGGCTGAAGCAGAATCTAACACAAACACATCACCCAGTGGTCCAAGGAGCCAGGGCAGGTGGCATGCCTCCCACTGGGTCTCTAATCCTGATTGAGAAGGCCACAAATAAATGTCCCAGGTGCCTCTTGCCTCCACAGACACCGCCCCACTTTTCTGCTGAAGCTATCGCTTCACCTACGGACCCCTCTACTGGAAAGTCCTGAGACTCAGCTGTTGGGGACCAGTAAGTACCCTCAATGGAACCCCCGGGGAGTTTTCTGCCTGCTTGTGAAGCACCATGGTGCCAGCAGGACGCCTTGGTCTAGGCTGTTCAGCAAGGCTGCTGTGCTAACAGAGTTAACAAGAAGCAGGTGGCTGTGGGCTGTGAACCCAGCGAGCATTGAAGATCCTGGCCTTGCAAAGGTGGCTGCTTTGGAATCAGTCACTTTTCCCAATGACAGAGGAAGTCTCTGAAAGAGGCCATGTCCCAGCCTCTGGACTCCCAAGAGGGGAGAGCTTTGGGTGGGTGCAGAGGTGGCCTTTTGTGGTCAAGACAAGACCATGCAGAGGAGGGCAGGAGAACCCAGGAGAGGCACCCATCTCCCCCAAGGGGCCACGTGGGCGTGTAAACACAGTTTGGCATTGAAATATGACAGGTGTCTCTGTCCAGGGCTCGGCTGAGTCTGAGTCTGATTTCCAGGTCATCCTTCTGGGAAGAAGCCAACGCTTTGTTCTCAGAACCGGAATGTGTGCCACCCGAAGACCAAGGCTGTTAACCACTCACGACCAATTCTTCGGCAAGAGGCCAACAACACCCCTTACCGAAGGCGCTCGATGGTGTCTCCCAGAGGAACTGGCTCCCAGCCAGGCTTTTGTTCTTGGACAAAGGCTACACATTAGGCCCAGGCACAGAGAAGGTACTGTTGCATGGGCTCCTTCGACCCCTAGAGATGGTGTGGGTGGCTGAAAGGCAGAGGTGAAAGCCACCTGGCACCTGGGTGGAAAAGTCTGCGGCTAGGTAAGGCCCACCGTGGAGCCACATGGGCAGGAATGAGCAGACACCTGGGAGTCTCTCAATGGAAATCCAGGCAGCAAATAGGGTTCCCAGGGTCCCCCTCGGTCTGTCGTAGCTGGCACATGGATGTCAGGAATCTGCTGCCTGTGGCAGCCTGATGGAACTGCCCAGGGTCCCGGGTCCCCGGTTAACTTAGCAGATGAATGCTAGATGTCCTGGATGCCGTCAGAACGCTGGCAGTCACAGAGAGGTGTGGACGAGTCTCCTGTGGACAGGAGAGGCAGGAGGAATGTCTGCGAAGGACCAGATGTTCCCAGCAACAGCAGTGGGGTATGCTGGAATACAGGCTCCCCCAGAAAGGGAAGAATCCCTGGAATGCAGAGTGACTACCTAGCAATCTTGCCAAGTGATCAGATGTGGGCAGGCTGGTTCAGGTATACATCAGCCACCTACAGGACCAACTTGGCTTCTTTCTATTCAGAACTCATCAACTGACAGGGTGCATGTAGGAGTGCACAGAAGCTGAATGTCGGCTCGCAGAGCCCACAGAGGCGGTCAGCCCAAACCGCTCCTAGGCAGGTGCATGTCCAAGGGGCTGTGTTGTGATTACTAGAGAAGCTGGGATTGCAAGCAACAGAAAGGGGAGCATGCACCGAGTTGCAAGTAAAGCTAGCAAAAACACACAGCAGGATGGATGACCAATGAGGATGGCAGGATGGTCTCCCATAGATCAGGAGTGGAGTGAAAGGCGTCTGCAAACAGGACAATGCTACCTTATGGACAATTCTTCTCAGCAACAGTCTAGCTACCTGGGTGGTCATAGGTCCCTAAAGGTTCCGGCTGCGGGTGGGCAAGGCTGGTGCAGGATTGGTCCCGTTGGAGGCTGGATGCACTGGGCAGGGCCCTGTGCCCGGTGTGGCCACTTGGCGACACACCTGCCGCTCCCGCACAGCCCTATTGGATGCAGAAGTCTTCCGGATTTGCGCACGCCTCGAGTGCCTCAGCGGGGATTTGTAGGTTCTGCGCAGCTCGGCCAGAAAGCCCTGGTAGTTGTTTCGCAAAGGGCTGTCCGGCTGCATGTGGGGGATGGCCCACTTCTCCGCCTCCCCAGTCAGTCGGGACACCAGGAAGGCCACTCTCTCGGCTTCACCCGGGAAGCGGGAAGCTTGAAAGATCATGAACCTGTCCATCTGCATCAGGAACCCCGCCAACTGGCCGGGGTCTCCAGAGAAAGGTTCAGGCAGCGAGGTGGGCGGTGTGGTCATGGGTCGAGTCCCATTGGAGGTGATGGCAGAGATAGGCGGAGTGATCTGCAGAGCGCCAGGGATGCGCGCCCGGGTGCGCAACAATGTGAGCTCCGCCATCACGCTCTCCAGCATGTTGGTGAGGTTGGCCTTCTCGGCTCTCAGCGTGGAGGCCTCGCGCCTCAGTGCAGAGTTGGTGAGTCGCAAGGAGGTCAGGGTGTCAGCCACATCATCCATCTGTGCGCTGGCACCAGAGGCAGAGGCTGAGCTTTCTGTTTTGGAGGTCTGAGGTTGGACCATTCTGGCAAAGATCAAGCAACAGAGAGCCGGAGCAAAAGGCCCTGGGTGCTGAAGCAGGGGCGCCCAGGCAGAATCTGGGAGAACAAGCCTGGGGACACTGATCCTGTCCTAGATGCAGTTCCTTTCTGCAAGCTTTGCAGGGTCAAGGTGTGGGGCGCTGGTTGGACCTGCCCAGGCCTTGAAGGATGTTCGAGCTGGAACTGCTCAACCCTTGCAGGATGCACAGATTGAACCTACTCAAGCCTGCAGCATGAGCAAGCAGGACCTGCCCAGGCCTTGAGAGATGAGCGGGTTGGGCCTTCCCAGGCCTTGCAGAATGCAGAGGCTGAACCTGCTCAGGCCTTACGGGATGCGGAGACCTGCGCTGCCCAGACTTGGCGGGATGCACCTGCCGGAGTTCGGGCTGCGAATGAAAGCGCTGCCCGCGGGTGCCACGAGACTACCTGCCCGAGAACAAAGGCGGCCGCACCTGAGCTGGCCCGGGCCGGGCAGCGCGTGTACCTGTCGCTCCGCTGCTCCTTCCGCTGCCAAGATGGCCCACGGATCGGGGCCGCACCCGGCTTGCGCGTCACGGCGACCGCCGGAACTGCTTCCCGGGCAGCGGTGGCTGCGGTTCCCGCGGGGCTGAAATGTCGGGGTCGTGGCACTGCGCGGTCACCGCACAGTCTTTGTGCGGGCGCGGCCAGCGAGACAGCAGCGGGGAACCAGGCAACTGGGTCGGGGCCTGCTGGTTGCCATGGAGACCGCCCGCTCCCGGAGCGACGGCGAGCAGCTCTGCCTTCCGGAAGTGACGCAGCCCCGCCTCCCGGGCCATGCGCCTTTCTCAGCAGCCTATCAACAAGGAGCGTGGGTTCTGCTTTTGAGTCTCGCTCTTGGAAAGCTTAGGTTCTTTCTGGTTCCTCCCAAGGCACCATACTGAGCCTCTCCTCAGTGGTGGTGTCATTTTTTTTTAAGCTAGGTTGACTTTTCTTGCTATAACTTGAATGCAATTCAGATGAACTACATTGTAGGTCATGACAGCAAATCTTGACAAAGAAGAAAACTACTTTTTATTTTAATTTTTTGAGCCAGTATCCTGTAAGCCCGACTGGTTTGGCTCTCAGGAAGTAGCTAGGGATGACCTTGAACCTCTCCTGCCTCCACTGTCCCTTTGCTGGATTGCAGAGTTCACCACTACACCAGATTCAGACAAAGCAGTCTTTATTGCTCAGCATGGCCTTGAACTCACAGTGTAGCCACGCGATTCATAACATTTATGACATAGCCACGAAATAATTTAATGGTGAGGGTCACCACAACATGAGGAACTGTATTAAAGGGCTGCAGCATCAAGAAGGGTGAGAAGCACCAGGCTAAAGGATTTGAGTGGAGATCCTGGCGTTTTCTAGATTACCCTGGGTTGGTTGTTTCTTCGTGGTCAGTTCCACGCTGGGGTGCATTTGGGAGAGAAAACGCCTTCTGTGAAGCCGTTCCAGGAGACAGGTACAGCAGCCTGCTGAAGGTAGGAGGCAGGCCTGGGGTGGGAATGTGTTCATTCTGCCTACGGTGTTCGGTCTTGGGGTGGGAGATTTCGGCTGAGGGTACCCACACGGTGAGAGAACAGTTGCGTTCCACTGTGCCAGACTGTATGTGTTGTGACCAGCAAGAACTCCAGAGCATGAAGCGAGAGAGGACAGGAGGAAGACAAGTATATTCTTACGTCATTTCTGTGAGGTCTCCAAAATCGGGTGGAGGCAAGAGCTACATTAGCCTTGACTAGAGACAATGAGTTCAGAAATCAAACGTGCTGAACTCACCCCCTCCCCCGCACGGTGTTTCTGAACATGCCTGAGCATCCCCTGTGAGGCAGCCCCAGTATCACAGTGGTACCATAGGTCCCTAGATGCTGTGGGCAACTGAGGGGCCTGCTGTGGTTGACAGTATAGACCCGAGGTGCCCCAGTGCCCTGGAAAGATGTGTCCTATGGTGCCGAGAACGATCCGCAGTAGCCCCACTCTTCGGTTCCCGATGAGCAAATGTATTAAGCATGTAGCCAGGAAACGCAGAACAATCAGCAGGCAGAAAGCAGAGCAGCATCAAGTCAGTGCTCACAGCATCCAGCAGAGGCGGCCGGCCGCAGTAGCCTGACTGAAACAGGCCAAGGGGACGGCAGCCAATGGGGGCCGAGGAAGCCAGCAGAGTGGCTGGGGGAAAACGCAATTAGCTGGAATTCCCGGTTGCCATGGATGAGCTTCTTGGCTCCCACTCCCACCGCAAGCATTTTTGTGCCACGGGATAAACAAAAGTAACTTCTGTTGGGCACAGTTTGCCTTCTAGCTGTCCTCAGGGTGCAGTGATTTTCAGATCTGTAGCTGCAGGCTGTCTTCCTTTCTCAGAGACAGAGGCAGGGGCCAGCTTGTCCCTGGAAGGTAGAGATCCTCTGATATAAACGTGTTAGGATCTGGCAACAGGGAGTCTCCTCCCACCCCCCAGTCGGCTTGCAGTAACCTTAAACAACACCGACAATTTGCTAATAAAATGTATATTACAGAAGGCAGAAGGCTCACCCTAATTTTGGAAGTGTTAGACCGTGATATTTGCTTATACTTTTCCTCATTTCAAAGAGGCAAATAAAAGTTGTAGTCCAGAAAAAAAAAGGAGCAAAATGAAAGTACAAAAACCGAAGTATGTTTATTTGCTTTTGAGACGAGGCCGTGTAGCCCAGGCTGGCTTTGAATTTCATGCGGAATGCCTTGAACTTCTGATCCCGAAGTCCCCACCTCCCCAGTGCATACCGGGATTTCTGCAATGGAGAGCAAACTCAATGCTCATGCGTGTTAGGCAAGCACTCTGCCAACTTGGACAAGCACTCTGCCAACTTGGGCAAGCACTCTGTCAACTGAGTTCCAGCTCTAACCACCAAAACAAAAAGAAATTTAAAAAAAAAAAAAAAAAAACGGAAAAGCAGAAGGAGAGCACTTGGGTTCAGTTCGGGTCCAGACGCTGCTGTGATTCCAGATAAGACACACAGCCTCTTCCGTGAGTGCAGGAGGAAACACGAGATGATGTGATTGAGCCCATAGACAAGGCCAGCCTCCTTGTGGGCCACAGACACAGTCTCTCGTGTGATAGGGACTCAAGGGTAGGAACAGGGCCAGGCCGTCCTTTGAAGCCAGAGGTGAGAAGAGAAACAAGTCACTTGGAAAGAAGGAACTCATCTCAGTCATTTCATGGGGGTGGGGGTGGCAGCCTGTGTGAAAGTGTGGACCTTGGGCCACGCAGACACCATCTCCCGAGCCCATGTCACCTGGATGGATGAACAGGCCATGGAAACTCAGAATCACCAAGTCAAAATCACGTTCTTCACTGCAGACCAGGCCTCAAATGTTGGGTGCTGGGAAGAAGTGGGGAGGGACGGAGGGAGAGAAAGAGAGAGAAGCTTTTACCCACAAATAAGAAAATTCAAATCCCAAAACATCTAGAGCTAGCTTGATGGCAACAAAATCAACACTCATAAGATGAATTAACTCCAGATGAAATTAAATAGTTGGAACAATGAAGACACTTTAAGTTGAGCACGTGTGGGCGTTTGCTAGAATAATGAGTGAATACGATTTACAGAGAGAACAGAGATTGTGTGGCAGGTCCTTCTGTCGATGTGTTGCTTTTATTGGTTAATGAATAAAGAACTGCTTTGAGCCTATGGCAGGGAAGAACAGAACTAGGCCGGGAAAGCTAGGCTGTATGCTGGAAAAAAAAAGGATGGAGTCAGAAGCCATGGAGCCACCAGAGACAAATGCTGAGAACTTTACCCGGTAAGCCACAGCCACATGGCGATATACAGATGAATAGAAATGGGTTAAATTAATATGTAAGAGTTAGCCAATAAGAAGCTAGAGCTAATGGGCCAAGCAGTGATTTAATTAATATGGTTTCTGTGTGATTATTTTGGGTCTAAGCTAGCCTGGCAGCCAGGGACAAACAAGCAGTCTCCTCCAACACAGAGAGGCATAGGCCATCAAGATCAGGCAGCTGTGGAAAAGGCACCGCCCATCCTGACAGCCTGAGTCCGTGCCCAATACTCACATAGTGGAAGTTCTAGTTCATTCTGTGCTGTGATAAAACGCTATGATCAAAAGCAACCTGGGGCAGGAGGGGGGGGTCCATTGGCTTATACCTCCAGGTTACAGTCTATCATTGAGGAGGTCATGGCAGGAATTTGAAGCAGAAACCATGGCTGAATGATGCTTGTTGGCTTATTCCAAGGCACATGCTTAGCTAGCTTTCTTATATAGCTCAGGACCACATGACCAGGGAATGGTGAGTTTAGGTGCTGGATACAAGATGGACATTCAAGATTTATTTATTTATTTATTTATTTATTATGTATACAGTGTTGTACCTGATTGTATGCCTGTATACCAGGACACCAGATCTCATTATAGATGGTTGTGAACCACCATGTGGTTGCTGGAAATTAAACTCGGGACCTCTGGAAGAGCAACCAGTGTTCTTAACCTCTGAGTCGTCTCGCCAGCCCCAAGATGGACATTCAAAAACCAAATTTGTCGTGATAAAGTGGACAAGACCAGCCATGAATCAATGGGGTCCGTTTTCTCCATCAAGGTAGGTTTTGGAGGCCCCTCGCCTCCTGAGATTCCACCAACAGTTTATGTTTCTGAGGAAAGAGAATCATTAGATACTTTTCTGTTTCTGTGGTAAAACACAATGACCAAGGCCACTTATAGAAGAGTTTGCTTAGCTTACTATAGACAGAGTTTTCCCATCCCAGGAGCCACTTCTGAATTACCACACAGAGGCCCAATACTAATATTAATTGTAAATGCTCAGCCAATAGCTCAGGCTTATTACTAACTAGTTCTTACATTTTAAGTTAACCCATATTCCTCATTTACGCTCTGCCACATGGCAGTACCTTTATTAGCATGGCATGTTCATCTCCTGATCCCTCTGTGTCTGACTGGCAACTCCTGACTTCCCTTTCCTCATCCCATCATTCTCAGTTTGGCTTTCCTCCCTAACTGTATCCTGTTCAGCTATTGGCCAGTCATATCAGCACATAGTCACACAGTACACAGAAGGATTATTCCACAGCATTTACAGCTCCAGAGAATGAGAGTCCACAGTGGTGGAGACAGCATGGCAGCAGGTGGCAGGCATGGCAACTGGAGGAGAAGCTGACGGTTCATATCTTAAACAGAAAGCAAGAAGCAGAGAGAACACACTGGAAGT